GGGGACCACAATCGTTCTTCGTCGGCGGCGGCGCTGTGCTCTCATGTACGCCGCTATTGATAACTTACGGCTTTCTCTATTTCATACGTGTCAAATCGGCGAAGAAATTAAACACAGATATAATGGTAGTACCCATTTTGTGCATATGTCAATTACGTATATTATTCTATTAATTATAATCCTAATATCTAGTTACCCGTGGGAACCAGAGTGTGCAACTGCCACACATTTACAATATTCCTCAGACCTTTAAAAGCAGATTACACCACTAACCTAAAACCTTTTTCATAAAGCCCTTGATTAAAGGACGGTAGTCGTCGCACCACGCATGTGCGAGATATATGGGTCTCATGTAAACAAAGATGGCGACTTTGACTGTTGCGCAGATCAACGAGTACGAACTGAGACGTTTCAGCTTTAATTAGATAATTTTCAGGTGATTTGAAGGTATCGAAGGAGTCACCGGCGGTAATCCGTGCAAGTCGTGCCCTGATCAAACCTCACACCTCACATTGGATTGTGGGAAAATCAGTATTTATCAACACAAATGTCGCACATGCGCAGCACGACGACCACCTCGCTTTAAGTTGTAGAACATTCCGTAAAAAAGATGTTTCCTTTTACTGGATGATATGTTGAATTACGGCCGGGGAGGGCTTATCAATCTCCGGGTTTGCACCGTGGTATTGTGGCCTAGTAATGTCTTTGTTTCGGGTACAAGATCGTATTCAGTGTCATCCTTTAGCTGGGTCGTCGGCGATTCCTAGATGTCAGTTGTAGTCTTAAAAATTCAAACTCACAGGCGTTAGTTGACAGTGTGAATAATATTACTTGGGTTAGCACCATGAGAGCATTAACGTAGTTTCTCAGCATTTTAGTATGTTATCACCACAACTTAGACAGGGACTATACTCTCTCTCATCTCAACGGACTGATAAAATGTTATGTTCCAGTGGCTGCTCTTGGATATAATAAAGAATGTGTCAGTACTATATTTTGAGCAAATATCACCAATCTTCGTATGTTCAAGAGAAGCTTTGATGGGAAAATGTTGTACATGTTAGGATAGTTGTTATATTCAAATAAACCGTTTGTATATAATTATAATAATGAGTCAAAAGAATGATCATGCCATTTAAATTTGAAACCGTAGAATATGTACTTTGATGAAGACATAAGTACAAACGGGTTATGAGAATTAAAAAGTCAAATTAATGTTACTTTTTAATCGGTATTTGTAATAATATTAGAGACATATTTTTCTCAAATGTTTGTACAAGAGACATTCGCAACAAAAATGAAATTCATCTTCCACTTTCTGTAAAGCACATAAAGTACCCTACCACTTTACATACGCAATCTATGACAAGAAACACGAAATCTGCATAGGAAACTCCTAACAAATCTTTATCAATAAATATTTCTCAAAAAACAGATTATTTTTTATACAGGTGATAGGTGTCACGTTTGGAAAAGGATTGCATACTTAATGACCATTGTTATGCAGCAAAATCAGGCGAACTTTGATACAGACATATTGACATTGCCAACCCTTTGCATATTCCAGGCCATACCGAAACCAAAACTAAAAAAACCAAAAAAAAACCAACAGTTTTTACATTATATGCCCAGCACTTGTAACCCTTTTCGGCCATTTCACATTGGTAGTTATAACATTTAATATACGACGTCTTGTCACGATCTAGGCATCATAAGGGTTCTCAGCGGAAATCTACCAAGTTCAGCGGTTTACAGGTATTATTATTCAACATATTATAGTATATACTTGCAAAAAGAGGTATGGACATTTTCAATATTTTCTCCAGCATGGAATCCCCAAATTTCGCAACCATATAATTTAATATTGGAACGATTTTGACGTCAAAGATCTTCAGGGCAATATTAATTTCAACATTCTTAAATTGGCTTAATATCTTTTTTTACACTATGCCCGCTTTACTCGCACGACTTGCCAAAGCACGCTGAGCGTGGTCCATAACCCATCGATATACCAATGCTCATCTGATTTAAGTCTACCCCCGTTTCTAAACACTATAATTTTATACTTGTTTGCATTGACTTTAAGCTTCCATTTTTTTTACAGTAAACACATAATTTATCCAAATGCCACTTTCCAGTATATCGCCTATATCATTAATGAAAATATTCAATGAAAGAGGGAAGAATGTAAATGATTCATTTGAACAAAATAATGAGTATAATATAAATGAAATTAGTCCATTGCGCAGATAACGTGGCAATGTAAAGCATTACAGAAGAGCCATGTAACACATGCGAAATACAATACAGATAAAATCACACAAATATTTTAAATTATTATTTTAATAATGAAAATACAATAACATCACGTACATTTTGTCTAATTTTCCATAAATAGATCAATCCAATCGCGCGCGGCAGTCACCCGGGCAAAGCCTGATGGTAGATATGGACTAGCACATTCTCCCATTATCCACGATGTAATGCCCGCTAAATACCATCGACCATCCGACTTCTTACATACTAGTGGGCCATCACCGTCTCCCTACAGGGAAGCAAGTAAGCGAGGTTAGTCACAGAAACTACATTATTTTCTCTATACGCCGCGACAGTAATAGGAGCGATATTGCGATATCATAGCAACGCCCTTCATATTTATACTTCAAATGTGCTCTATTTTTTATGGTTCTCGTTGATGAGATGGAGTTCAGAGTTTACTGGTGAATATCTCAATACATTCATTTGACTCTAACAACGGGTAGAGACCCCATCTACTCTCAACTGGAAAAAACAACAACAACACTTAGCATCAGTGAAAATATTCAAGAAACTTACGAAACAGACTCCACTGGATCTATTGTCATGTACACACAGCATGGTACCAGTGACACTCACACCATAGTTAGAATACAAAGTGGTGCAGGCAGCGCCGTCTAAAATAGATACTACTACTTGATGCAAGATATCCGGATAGCCAACTATACAAACGAAAATGGAAGCAATAATTGGAAAAAGTTACTTCAGGCACCCACATCTAACCTGAACCCTAACTCCCCAGCACCCAATGTAATTGCTCCTCCAGATAAATACACTGATGAGGGGGTACACGTAGTTAATATGGTTTAGGATTAGCGTTATGGGAGAGGGGCTATTAAAAATATTTCCCTGAAAAATACGCAGAGCCTTTCATGATTTGTACTAGTGCACATTCATAATGCAAATCTTGTTATTATATTGGAACCTATTAAATTCCAAAAGAATCTCTTATATTTGGTTTTCAAAAGTATGTTTTGCAATTTATGACCAGAACGTCAAATTTAGCCTAAAGTATGGTTAAAGACAATTTGTAGAATTGCTAAAATGCTATCAGTCTTCCCGGAATATAATCACCAGCATAAGTACTTGTCCTTATAATCAGGATACTAATATGTACACATTATTTCATCCATTCAAATGATTTCGAATGGATGAAAACTACGTTTGGCTTACTTTTGATGAAAACGCTTCTACCTTAGAAAAACACTATTCAGCTATTTCGACAAGGAAAATATTTGGAAAAATTGTATGTTCTCAAGAAAACAAGGAGTATATCGTCAGATAGCTTTGTACTGGTAATGTTTACCACCCAATATATGTCATACAAACCTCACAGGATGGTGAGTAAAGGATTAATTGTAAATCAATTTATTGTTTCATATGTGTGCATGTCGAAATATCACACTATGACGTTCACCGGAGTCTAGGTGGATGGCATTAGTAACATGCCAGACAGTCCTTGGGCTGGCTATGAGCGATGCGTCTATTCGTGGGCAAAAAAGCGTCACTGCTCAAAAATATCATTTGTAAATACTATCAACTTACGTCCATCGTCCAATGCTCCCCATCCAGTAGTGTAACATATGTCAGCATTGTGAAAGAAGTTGTCAAATTCAGTATTCGGCAAACCTACTGGCCCTATGAAATCATTGAAAAAAATTCTCGTCGATGTGTATAAGAGGGCAAAGTCCCAGTTCAAGGTATCTGGGTCGTATCTAGGATGGACACTAATGGATGTGATGTCTGTCCAATTCTCATGTGGCGATGTTGAGTTCAAAGCCACCATTCCCATCCTTAGGTCGATATGTTCAGGACGGGTTTCTGTAGTCGTATGAGCAGTATAATTAAAGCTGAAATTACACGCATTGGGTACAGTAGAAGTTAGGCAAATAGTATACACGTTGGCACAGGTAGAAGGTAAGCGAATATTGTACCAAGATTACGAAAGATATTACACAACAATTCCAGAAAAGTTTTCCCACAGTCACTCTATCACCGGTCTGAAAACTGCTAGCGTTATTTTGCATCGAACCGCGTTGCGGGTAAACAAACTGTTCAGACCCGGGCCGAGGAAGTCATGTTACGATAACGTCAGAATACTAGTAATCATTCAAATCGGCAAATTTACCGTCATTCATAGCGATACTTCGTTGTGTGATTTGACCTCAAATTACAGGCAACTATAACGTAAACAAAACATGTAAACTAATTGTGCGTTATTGAACCCTGATACGCATCAAAACCAACCTACCATCTCATACACATTCAGTTCATGCCATGTAAAAATTAATATCGGGAATTATGTTCATCTTCTTGTTTTAATAGGAAAAAACGGCGCGTAACAATATATAAATTAATGAACTACTCGTCGGCTAAAATATGACCTTATAAAGATATCCTGGTTAAACAAGTATGTGAAAAAGCTATAATTCTGGAATATACAACTAAATGGTAAAAAAACACATAGCCCTGACGATGTCAAAAATAGTGACCGGCTGTGTACTGATCACGTGACAATGCTTCGCGCATACCCACAACACGTCTTTGCCAGGGAGGGAGGACAATTCACATCTAATACAATAGCTGTTTTCAGACCGGGATACATAGACTGCGGTTTTCCCAATTGCATTCAAACTGAGTTTACCATACTTAAGCAATACACCATCACCCAGTATACCACAACCTTGTATGGCTTATATTTGTTAAATGCCATATAGTTTTAGTGTACTTTCTAGGAACCCCCCCAAAAAACAAACAAAAACAAACACACGCCATCAATCAAATCATGGAAACAACATCGACCTCTCGCGTTATGTGTATTCTAATCATTTCAAAACTCATGAGCATATTGATTAGAGTTCAAGTAAGTTTAATTAATTAATATAATTCAACTAATCGAACAGCTATATCCATTGTCCGAAATCAAGTTTACATTAGTGTAGCGATAGCGGTGACGCATAATAGAAGTTGTAGAGGTGGTAATTTGATCATCTGGCGCAGTTTGTGTTATTCAAAACGCAATTTTCCATTTCCCCAATTCCCCAATTTAGTTTTAATTGTAATCGAACAATATTTAACAAGATTCTCGAATGTTACTGGTTTAGTATTAATAATTTCCATTCTTTCTTGTGGAATAAAAAGAACGTCATCATGGTATACTCTCATTATATGCACAGTTAGAATTGGCCACAAGTATCACAGCGATGTATGTTGACCACAAGTATGACAGCAATGTTTTAAAGACGTTGGCCACAACTATCACAGCAATAATTTAAAGAAGTTGGCCACAAGTATGACAGCAATATTTTAAAGAGGTTGGCCACAAGTAACACAGCAATAATTTAAAGAAGTTGGCAACAAGTATGACAACAATGTTTTAAAGAGGTTGGCCACAAGTATAACAGCATGTTTTAAAGAAGTTGGCCACAAGTATGACAGCAATATTTTAAAGAAGTTGGCCACAAGTATCACAGCAATATTTTAGAGAGGTTGGCCACAAGTATAACAGCAATATTTTAAAGAGGTTGGCCACAAGTATAACAGTGATGTTTTAAAGAAGTTGGCCACAAGTATCACAGCGATGTTTAAAGAATTAAGCCACAAGTATCACATCAATGTTTTAAAGAAGTTGACCACAAGTATGAAAGCAATATTTTAATGAGGCTGGCCACAAGTATCACAGCAATGATTTAAAGAAGTTGACCACAAGTATGAAAGCAATATTTTAATGAGGTTGGCCACAAGTATGACAGCAATAATTTAAAGAAGTTGGCAACAAGTATAACAACGATGTTTTAAAGAAGTTGGCCACAAGTATGACTACAGTATTTTAAAGAAGTTGGCCACAATATGACAGCAATGTTTTAAATAGGTTGGTCACAAGTATCACAGCGATGTATGTTGACCACAAGTATCACAGCGATGTTTAAAGAAGTTGACCACAAGTATCACAGCGATGTTTAAAGAAGTTGACCTTAAGTATTACGGCGATGTTTAAAGAAGTAAGCCACAAGTATTACAGCAATGTTTTAAAGAGGTTGGTCACACGTATCACAGCAATATTTCAAAGAAGTTGGCCACAAGTATCACAACGATGTTTTAAAGAAGTTGGTCACAAGTATGACAGCAATAATTTAAAGAAATTGGCCACAAGTATCACATCAATATTTTAAAGAGGTTGGCCACAAGTATAACAGCGATGTTTTAAAGAAGTTGGCCACAAGTATGACAGCAATAGTTTAAAGAAGTTGGCCACAAGTATGACAGCAATGTTTTAAAGAAGTTGGCCACAAGTATGACTACAGTATTTTAAAGACGTTGGCCACGTCATGACAGCAATGCTTTAAAGAAGTTGGCCAAAAGTATCACAGAGATGTTTTAAAGACATTGGCCACAAGTATCACAGCGATGTATGTTGACCACAAGTATCACAGCGATGTTTTAAAGAAGTTGACCACAAGTATCACAGCGATGTTTAAAAAGTAAGCCACAAGTATTACAGCAATGTTTTAAAGAAGTTGGCCACAAGTATCACAGAGATGTTTTAAAGAAGTTAGTCACAAGTATCATAGAGATGTTTTAAAGAGGTTGGCCACAAGTATCACAGCAATGTTTTAAAGAGGTTGGCCACAAGTATCAAAGCAATATTTTAAAGAAGTTGGCCACAATATGACAGCAATGTTTTAAAGAGGTTGGCCACAAGTATCACAGCGATGTATGTTGGCCACAAGTATCACAGCGATGTATGTTGACCACAAGTATCACAGCAATGTTTAAAGAAGTTGACAATAAGTATCACGGCGATGTTTAAAGAAGTAAGCCACAAGTATTACAGCAATGTTTTAAAATAAGTTGGCCACAAGTATCACAGAGATGTTTTAAAGACATTGGCCACAAGTATAGCAGCGATGTTTTAAAGAAGTAAGCCACAAGTATAACAGCGATGTTTTAAAGAAGTTGGCCACAAGTATGACAGCAATATTTTAAAGAGGTTGGCCACAAGTGTAACAGCAATGTTTTAAAGAGGTTGGCCACAAGTATGACAGCAATATTTTAAAGAAGTTGGCCACAAGTATCACAGCAATGATTTAAAGAAGTTGGCCACAAGTATCACAGCAATGTTTTAAGGAGGTTGGCCACAAGTATCACAGCAATATTTTAAAGAGGTTGGCCACAAGTATCACAGCAATAATTTAAAGAAGTTGGCAACAAGTATGACAGCAATGTTTTAAAGAAGTTGGCCACAAGTATGACAGCAATGTTTTAAAGAAGTTTGCCACAAGTATCACAGAGATGCTTTAAAGAAGTTGGCCACAAGTACCACAGCGATAGTTGGATGTAAATCTGGTGAGATATATTTAAAATAATAAAGTAAGGATAAATTAGAGAGTGAAAAATCAATGATAAGTTAGTAGGTACCATAGTTTCAAATGTATACTTACACACACTGTGCGCTTGTCATGATATAGTGCTCATCAACGATAACACCACTACATTTATGCAAACCCATAACGTCGATTCGGACATGCCCTGGCCAACTGCCAATGGAAGCGTCGGAACCACCAACAATCCTCCGTCGCGGTAATGTTCTTGTGCCACATTCTGCGGGCCCCGAAAAATTGATTAAAGACTTTATATGTACAATAACGTCCAGGTCTTGACTGTGTTCAAAACATTCGTTTAATTGCCGTAAACTCACAATGTCATGTCTATGTCTTTATGTAGATCGTAAGCATCGCTATGTTTGCATTCATATAAGCAAATTATAATAGCTACGTATGCATTTAAGTGTAGCAACGCTTACAGCAACGTTTATTCATATGTAGGTTGTAAACAAACAGCAAGATAGAGTTCTTCTACAGCAATTGAAAAACGTTGGCCAAGGGAGGAACCAAAAATCTATCATACCAGGTACAACGCTTGAGCTGTCGAAAATTTGGTCGGTCCATTAATGTAAATGCTTATGTAAATTAATTACATGTATTCAGGCAAGTATTTGCACAACAACCATCTTTTTCGCAAAGACTTCGTGATATACTAGTAATCGGTAGTTGTACGCTTTGTTTTGTGTTTAAGCCTATTTTATTTACAACTGCAAAGCCACTCCAAACCGTGCAATTATCAGCTTGTCTTGTACACTGTGTGTACATACAAACATACATGTGACTCGCCTTTTCTTATTGTGTCCTGTATCCAGTCACTTGAAGACGTTATGCGTGCATACAACATCGGTTCTTCGCAGTTAGTCACGTGACCACCGATTCCGGCGAGGTATCATCTGTCATTACGTATCCGGCACACCAAAGGGCCTGTAATCTGCGTATGTTAATAATAATTGTATGTAATGCTAGAAATACATTTCCAAGACACCTGAACAAACATCACTTCACTCACTTGACAGGTATTGTTGTCACCACCAGTTTGCAAGGCACACATGTTTGATTTGAATATCTCTCTCCCGTATGTATTATTACATGCGTCATCATTGATCGTCTCAACCATGGTTTCCAGGGTGACAACCGAGTAGCCAGAATCTGTGGAAAACCAAAACAAATTCGTACTGAATTGTGTAACGTGAATGCAGCTTATAGTAAGTTGTATACGTGGTTTAACTATGATATACTAAATTACAATGATTAAAATGTATTATTATTACAAAAAACGATGAACACGGCGTCAAAACTAACCCGTGTACGCCACTAAGCTAGTTGTAACTGTATACTCACCACTCGATAGCGTCGGGTCCACCCTGTGACCACACAAGCTTTGCCGACCGGATCAAAACCATTGTTCAGCGGTGGAAGACATATTGGACGGACATAGTTAGTATATGGGATTGGCGAGTCCACGTACAGGATCGCAAAATTCCATTGTAAGGTTGTTGCATCGTACAACGGGTGAACTGCTATATACCGGGCAGCGGAGGCGTATTCCTCAGGTTCCGACAGAGATGACATGCCCATGCTAATTTCAAATGTATTCGAGTGTAGCTGTGTACCAACAAACACAATAAAATCAAGCTGCTGGCGAACTGTGGCCAACACGATGCTTATACGGTCATTGAAACGTATCATATTGATAACCTTTTCGCAAAATCGATACATGCACTGGTACTGCGACAGAGCATCGTATATATTTAACAAGACAGGGAAATAACAGTATTTCTTTTTATATACAAAACACAACATTGGTTACAGGTATAACCAACACCCCAATGGTGAACACAATTTACTTACACGCATTGTGCATTTTTCAAGATCCAGTGCTCTTCAATGACGACACCATTACATGAATGGTTCCCGGCAACTTGTAACGACGCTAGCCAGGGCCATTTTCCTGAAAACATGTCCGAACCGCTGTCCGTTGAGGCGACGGACGGGCGAGTTCCGCATCCTATTAAAAAAATCATTGTACTGACATCAAACATGTATAGTCGTACCATACATTGCAAAGGTGCGTTATTGACGAAATAAAGTCAATCAGATGACAAAAAGTTTACACAAAGCCCCCCTTACTAGATAGCACATACGGACTGTGGTTCATGGCACCAAAATAAGCAGCTTCAGTGAGAATCAGCCTGTGAGAATTTGCACGTTATTTACGGAAGTTTAACAACATATCCACGAGTTCGCAGATAAAACGTTTTTTTTGTCCACACATTTCGAACGTCCACACGTAATCACGAATGTTTCTGACAGACCTACGGAGTGTCACATAATTGTATATAGTAAGCAAATTTTAAATACATTTCATAATTTGATATCGCATATAACAATGATTTATTGCAAACAGATATTGTTATGGTCGTGCTATACAGACGTTAGGGCGCATGCGTGTTTGAGTGATTCGGCATTTTGTGTGCGAGCATATAGATATGTTAAGAGATGTACTAATATAGAATATCAATCAAGCACGGTACAACTCATCAATAAAGCTTCATATATTTAAAGTGCCACAATTTCATTTTAAATTGTTTGTCGTTTTTCCACATAGAAAGTAGTTTTATGTATTGCCACAACATCAGCTTTTATTGTTTGTTTGTTGGTCTGTTTATTTATGTATTGTTTAATACGGACACGGACTCGAATGGTTTGAAGTAAATATTTCCGCGCCCCACACCAGACTATTTTTTATTACTATTCATTACGAAGCCGGTCTTGACTTTTCAGATTAACTTAGTAGGTGGAAATTGAATATTTCATAAGACAGTGGTTAAGTCAGATTAGGATGCATAGGTCATCTGTGTAACAACAATGGTCACATATTGTCATACCAACAGTGTAAAAATAAATATAAAATCAAAACAGACTTTTAACTAGTGTTGCATGCAATTCCAAGACCTTGGAAGATAAAGAGTTGCTGGCAGATAATGCATGTGAACATGTACAAAGTACCTCTGATCATAATTTCATAGGAAAAACACGCGATTTTTATATTTTATTTGGCCACAAGTATCACACAATGGAATGATACAAGATACGCAAATCGTTCAGATTGGGAAAAAATTGGAAACTATCATACAAATCGTCAATGAAAGAAAAAATGAGAAATTTCCTGTTTAACTTTTTACATCGCATTCTTGCCACAAAATATTCCCTTCTCCAGGACAAAGATAAAATGATAATGAATGTACATATTGTAAACAAGAGGAGATAATAGAGCACCTTTATTGAGAATGCAAAATTACATTTGGGGGGGGGTTATTGGCGGAATTTTAAAACTACAGAAAAAAAGTTTTACACTAACATCGGAGAATATATTCCCAGAGGAAGATACTCTATCGAATCACCTCATTTTAATACTTGTTCTATATAAGTCACTATACGAATTTAACTAACATATTATATCAGAAATGTAAAGATGAAAATAAATGTTAAAGAAATCTTAAGCGAAAATAATTTTATTTTGAAGTGGGGCCCGCTGACTAGCTATCTGAACGACTAAAGTTCGCAATGATTTGTTTTATTGGCATTCACGTACTTGTTGTTTTGTTTGGATGTGTGTAAATTGTTGATGTAACTTGCCATCTGACCACCGTAGTCTACCTTCACGGCGTCGGTCGTTGAGTCCAATCCAAAAATCACCGGCAATGCCTGCATCTCTCAAAGTACTTTCATAGTCAGCATTTCTGGCGCGGGTGGATGGTTTGCCTAACATACCACCGTGAGACACACAGTATGCCAGGGCGTCCGGTCATGCCATCGTGTCGCCGACTACCAATATATCAAATTCAACTGCTTTGAAAATCTGCGTACGACCTAGAATAGCGGAGTTCACAAATAACGTTAATATTCAATGTGATAATTGTTATGAATACAGTCTATTAAAACGAACTGTTAGTAAACGCATAATAGAAACTTCCTTTGCATTCAAACCCATCGCTGGAAAACAAGTAACAAATAGGTGTAAAATATTTTCTCTAATCAAAACGGCATCTTTCTGTTCTTGTTTAAAACAATACCATAATACTGAACAACATCCAACAAGGTGCGTGTACTCAATTCAAAGTTTATGTGAAATACAATTATAACGACATATCCGGCGCTGCTCTCGTTTCCTTGGTAACTTAAACTAGATAGTGAAAAATGTAGTGAATAGTAGATATTTATTTTGAACACATCTCTAAATTGTTACCTCCGCTGTATATAGAACCAATGGTAGTGGGTAATCGTATGCTATTTTGAAAAGATTTGATAAAAGTGGACACTTTCAAATACGTTCATTTCGTGACGAAAACTACTGTAACAATTCTCTAATTTCAATGAATATTTGTTTTGATTTTTTTTTCTTTTTTTGAAAACGGTTAGCATATTTTCTTTAATATATTATTTGCATGTATCTTGGGTTGATCTTTCTCAGATATGTTAACTTCTTGAAAACAATTAGGCATGTGTACAAATATTTACACAACATATAAATTTCCTCGCTCTATAAAGTGACTATATCGATCTTAATGAATTGTGTGCTTGAAATGTTCAGCAAAAAATATTGAAAACTGTTACGTTACCCAGCCATGTGAGCTTTGATCGATATTATACACCACACACCATATCACTTTTCGGGGACGTCAGGCTACAGTCATTTTTAGTTGTTTGGGGCAGTATTTTATACATTTCACTGCAGTCGAGAAGTGAATGGAAAATCGTCCACTAATACTCTTTTCAAGAACAGTACAGTCAGTGTTAGGGCAACGCTGTGTTAACATTATAAGATATTTATCAACTTATTACGATATATCGGAGCTCGTTTTTCGAGTATTATATCGTTATCACATTTTCGTGGGAATATATACCAAAAGACCTAATTAGAATACTAGTATTAACGATTAAGCAACATGACGACAAATTACCAACAAGCACTTGTTTTAGAACAAGGGCACCGATCATTTGTTTCTGAAGGTAGACCGATTGGTACCCTGTAATGAGGACACACGCTGATTGGTTCCCTGTAATGGGCAGGGACGCTGATTGGTTCGGTTCCCTATAATGAGCAGGCACGCCGATTTGTGCATTTACAACACTGATTACTATAATTTTGGTGTATATTATCACGGCTTTCTTTTGCCAACCGTCAACAGACGCAACAAAACCGGAGTTTTACAGCGATACAAATTTCAAATTTCAATACGTAATACGTATACGGATCGATTTCATGAATTATTCAAATATTCATCGGAAAGTTATTCAGATTATGTTGAACCCGTAAGACTAACATAAAATAAAACAGATTTGAAAGATGCCATGTCCTTAACTTATTATATAACAAAAATAGTACAACATTGATTATGAGTTAAATGCGCATTATAACAAACTTCGTGCATCGCCACAGTATGCGAGATCTCGGTAATTAATTATTGAAGGTTAGCGACTCGATTAATATCTCCTGTATAAATAACATCGAATGCAATAATATTCGTATTCATATACCAAGATGGTGGACTTGAACTTCGCTAACAGCATCATTACTACCTACCGCTGTTCCCTCAGCCCATGTAGAAAAACACAGCCATGTGGAGATGCATACAATGGCAGCAACTGAAAACATGTTTCCGGAAAGCAGACCGATAGTATACAGTAATTGGAAATTGTAGCACGGTACCACGTTGTACAAAATGTATATTACAACCAGTTCCGGAAACACAAGACACACCCGGTAAGGTACACTGTTTGTTAGCAGCTCAGTGTACGTGTACACCTGTGTCACTCGATATTGAATGCAAATGCACTCTGCATATATTAGGATTGTCCAATCAAATTATAAATAACAAGGGCGCGTGTAGCCAGAGTCGAACCAATCAGAAGACATCAAAACAACATGTTCAGATTGGTAGGTTACATTCAGTTTTGAATAAGAGGAAATATGTTGTCTATTTACGGTCTGAATGATGTGCCTTCATTTGGATATTTGGTGGTCTTATTAGCAGATATTATTTAGG